TTTAGAAGGACAAATAAACAACCCCCTCCAGGTCCCTCAGTGAGGCTGAGCTTTGCCTCTCCTCTGAAACCTTTTTCTTTCTTTTACAAAGGTATTGATGATCCAAAAGGGAGGGGTTTAAAGTGGATTCCCCCTCCCTGTGCCCCCAGTGCCAGCCCCAGGGAGGCTCTGCCAGCCTGGGGGAACCCACAGCTCACTCTGGGTCACTCCCTGCAGCCAGAAAGGTGCCACGAGATGAGGAATTGAGCCAAAAGCCTCCTGCCAGCCTGCCCAGATGGAGGGCAGGGAGAAAAAAAAGAGAAAACATTCACCTGTTCACCTGTCCACACCAACACAGGGCAAAGAGGGATGTTCCTGGGAAATTTTCCTATTTTTCTTTCATTACAGCTTTATTCCAGTGGCTGGCAGGCTGTGATGGAGCTGAAGGAATAGCTCTGGATTCAGAGAAGAAAGAAACCCAGACTTTTTTTCCCCCCTTTCCCTGAGAAAAAAGTAATTTACGTAAATTTACCCACGACCAGCACACGGCAATAGCTCACAACTTTCTTAATGGAAACCTGGTGATCCATAACACTTGTGTGGGAGACATTTGCTCGGGGGTAATACAATATTAATGTTAATATCAATGATCGATCAGAGGATTTGCAAGAAAGGCATAAAGTATTTAATTATAATTACATTGGGAATGGCTCTGTAATGGCTACGACATTTGAATAAGGTCACGTCTAGCCCTCACCCCTGTTATGTTGTTCTATATTAAATGCCATTCACTTTAAGTGCTGGAAACCTTTTTTTTGGAGTCGTCAGAATATAATATACTGGCTAAATTGAAATATGTCCCTTCATTTTTTYGGAATATGATTGATATCCTTTGCAAAACAAATGTTAACACCTCTTTGTACACAAATTTCTTTGATTATGCGTYGGGGAAATGAAAGTGTGACAGTCTCTCCTGGCAGGCACTTGACTGTGAGCAAAGGACATGGCTATTTGTGAATATTAATTCATCTCACTGAAAATGGCTTTGGATCTCSGCTGTAAATCCACTTGGGTGTATTTCTGCCTTTCCTAATGCATTAATTCTGCGTTGATGAGCAGCCATGAGCCATTGGTCTCACAGCCCACAGTGCTCACCTGACCCAGGTGCTGCTCACCAGGAGCTTTTTGAAATCTTTCTCACCAACAGCATTGACCAAAAACAAATCCCAACAATCACATTTGCATTTTCACAGCAGAAAATATGTATTTCAAATACAGGTGTGTGGTATAACTGTCAGCCCAACAGCAGCTCAATTTAAAACAATCAGGAAGGAGATCTGCCTGCAAAACATGAATATTTCTCTGCAGGCAGGACCCCAAAACGAGAGCATGCAGACACTGAAGCACTACAGGAGGACATGCTCTTCCCACACTTATTTACTACTGAGAATAAACATTAAAGGAGCAAATTCTGGCTCCTCCTCAAATGAGAATCCATCTGTCCAATCCCCCCAGAGGGTCTCTTCTTTTTCTGATATCAATCCGGTCTAAAGAGTCAGATTTAAATTTCTGTTAAAATTCAGATTAAATTAAGTCAGAATAACTGCTGATTCACAGAGAACTGAAAGCTCCCATTTGAAGGCAGAATTTGGTCCCAAGAAATCATCCCTTTCAAAGTTTGGCAGACATGCAGTGATGTGATGGACATGATTCTCCTTTTCCTCTTTTCTCTTTTGCATGCTGCAGAAATGCCTGAAGAGAACAAGTTTTACAGTTTTCCAAAAAATGAGCATTTATTACCAATCAGTGTGAAATACCACTGATGGTAAATTTTAAGTATATGGCAGGAGTTTCAGCATCATGACAACATACATCATGCATTTTTACAACATATAAGTGCAGTGATAYTGCTCCCTTTCTCAATAACAATATATAAGAATATATAGTATAAATGTACAGTATATATTAGACACAATGTAAAATAACTTAGTGAAATGTCAAAGCTTCTGCATAAAAATTCAAGTCATGCCTGAGCATACCTCTATGTTGAATCTTATCTCATATACCTTCATTTACCTTTAGTTCATGTTGCAAAGATAATTTTATCTCTGCATTTAATTGCTTAAAACCATCAAAAATCTTGTCTTTTTTTTCCCTTTTACCAGCAGCAGGTGAAGACTGTAGTATCCAAGGCAAAGCCAAGATTTTGTATAGTCTTTGCTAATGCTGTTTATGTTCTGGCAAGCAATTCATTTTGAACAAGTTGGATAAAAGCAAGTTCTCAAAAACTCGTGGCAGTTCATCATTGTCCATCAGGTTCTGCTCCAAAATCCAAAATGCATGGAAATGGCAATGGAGTGTCTTTCTCAGAAATGGAGCTCATGAGCTAACGCTGATATCTGGAAATTAGAAATCTCACCAGTTGAGCTGAATTCATATCAAGCACCACTTTGGTAATTGCCTGCACRGAGGATCGATACAAATCCATTTAATGGGAATATTCAACTTGTCTCAGGGCAGGGAGGTGGAATTTTAGCTTTGCTCAACACTTGACCCAGCTTCTTGCAATACCAGGCTTCCCTTCACACTTCCTAAATGAAATATGGTCAAGGACTTTTCTGCAGCATCTCTGGRAGATTTCTGATAGCACAAGGGAATAAGTGGTGTTTTGTTGGTTTCTTTTTCTAAATTATTATTATTATTTTTAACCAAGGGATTAAGAGACTCTGTGACTGCCACGTCACCTATCAAAGTCTACCAGAGCTCAGCATCCTTGCAATTAAGGTCTCTTGGAATTATTTTGAGCACAACTTCAACAATTCAAACAATCCTGCCCTGAATATAAACAAAAATATGCTTGAAATACTTATCAATAACTACATTTTCTAATGAATGATGAAGAAAAGCTGCAAAACAGTTTGAAACATGAGGTTAAAAGAAAAAATAAGGGAAGACAGGGTGATTTTCTGTAATTCCTTTTGAGAAACAAATTCCCACCCCTCCACCCCCCCACATTCCCAGCCAGTGTAAGTCGACAGAATTACACTGTTTAGATCAGCTTAAGGTCTGACCTATATACTCCAGTGGAGTTAATCCTAATTTCCACCACTGAAAGTGGGATCAAATTCACTTTGTCTTTAATAAAGCAGTGGATGATAAGCAAGTCTCTTCTCTGTCGGATTCTGCTTGAGAAAGGAAATTCTTTGTGGTGTTAAGTGATGTCCAAGACAGTTTTAGAATATAAAGCTGGAATTTCATCAATTCCAGCACGGTGAAAACCGATATTGGTAACTGTTATTTATGCTTTAATCTCAGCAAAGTTCTTTGGGCACAGACAGAGCATCAGCTGGTGAATCTGTAACCCTTTCTGAGCCCTGCTGGGGAGCACAGCGAGGATTTTCAGTGACAGGAGGAGCTGCTGGAGCCGCTCTGACTCAGCCTTTGTCCCCACCAATAAATCACATCACATTGTCCAGAACTGCAGGTTAATGTGAGGAGCCTCCAGCAGGTGATATTTGCTTTCTTGCATGTTGTATTGAGATCTCAGCACAGGCAAAGGGTCAGGGGCTGAAAGGATGTAATCGATGCTGAATTTGATTTCAGAATCCGATTTTGCCAAGGAGGAATTGCTCAGGCTCTGCCTGTTGCTCACGCTGTTGGGAGCAAACCCACAAGGCTCCACAAGTTTTGGGCCYGATTCAATTCTTTCATGTTTACTTTCAGAAGAGGAAATGCTGTTCAAAGCAGAGTCCACAGGAGAGACATTGGGGGACGAAGGACTTTTCACTCTGCTCGGTCTCTGCTCCCTTTTCACGTTCCTCCTCCTCCGTCTTCGCCTGTAATTCCCATTTTCAAACAGATCCAGCATGGATTCGCATCCTGTCGCAAAGCTCCAATAGTTTCCTTTCCCCTTCTCATTCCCYTCTGTTCTGGGAACCTGTATTTGTTTAAAGGCAGTTCAGTGTTTGCATGTGTTACAGATGCTGCTGCTCAGCATCTGCATCCATTTACATTCAGGAATGGTGTAAACACACATGACAAGACTTTTAAGCCTATTCCCTGTCATTCCACAAGTAAGATATAAACCCCTTACATGTAGGATGCAAATCCTCCTCAATTTGTTATCAATTCCTCCTCAATTTGTTATCAATTAGCACACATCAGACGAGGATATATTCCTTATCTCATAATTGACAACTTAGATTTTAAGTGATTTGCAGCTGAGCTGTTTGTTTCCCTTCTTTCCTAGTGATGAGATTATTTCTTCATATATATATATATATATATATATATTTTATTTTAGCCATGCACACTGTGTGTATATAAATACACAGGAACTGATCTTACCTTCACAAAACAACTGTTAAGCGACAAGTTATGTCGGATGGAGTTCTGCCAGGCCCTTTGATTTGATCTGTAGTAAGGAAATTTCTTCATTATAAAGTCATAAATGCCAGAGAGGGTGACTTTATTTGAAGGGCTTTGCTGGATGGCCATTGCAATYAAGGCAATGTAGCTGGAAAAAGGAAAACTCGCTGTTACACCATCGTTTTTTAGGAACACATGGGTACATGTGGATGTATCCTGCTTCCAAAATTTCCCCTGAGGTGTCCTGAGTGTGACAGTGACTCTGAGTGTGGTCAGAGCAGAGCCCTGGGTGACACCAAGGGGTTTTTGGATCTGGTTTTTGGATCCCCCCTGCCTGCCCTGACCCTCAGTGCAGAGCTCAGGAGCRCTGCAGAACCATCTCACACCTCTCCAAGTCCTGCTGGAAAGTTTTCCCTGAGTGAAAAGGCTGCAGGGGAAGGAGGCAGAGCAGGCTCAGAGTCACTGTCACTGTCACCAGAGAGCTCTCTGCTCGTGGGAAGGAGCTTGGATGTCCCTGTGAGCATCCAGCCCACTCCCATTCCAACCCCACCGGGATTTTCTGCACCCCATTCACCCCTTAGCACACTGAACATTAATTCCCTTCTCTCAGAATTCCTGGAGGATGGAGTCTGTCTAAAATCCGGAGCATTAAGGGCACACCAGAGTAGCTGTGACCCCCCATGGGAGGAAACAAATCAGGAACATTTCACACACAGAAAAAGGGGAAAATCTGCCCGCTGCAGTGCCAGACCCACTGCTCACACCTGAGAGCTGCGATCCCACCAACCCAGAGCTCAAAAACCTCACCGGGAACAAGAGGGACTTGCAAAAACTTCCCCTTACCTGTACGCCGGTCGGGTGAATTTTTTCTCCTCGTCAGAACTRCAGGCAGGATAATCATCCCCATCGTAATTGAAGCAGTTGTAGGGGTACTGCGTGTTGTCAAACATGGTCCTGCTGCTCTCTCAGCTCCCGTGGAGTGCAGAGATGGAGTGATGTTTCTCAGAGCTCGGACTCCCTCTCTCCTCCCTCCTTTTTCCCTCTCCTCCCCTCTGTCTGTCTCATTCCTCTCCCCCTCCTCCTCTCTCACACACTCTCCGCGATTATTTTTGCCATTCTCCCGTCCCAGCCCGCTCGGATATATATATTTTTGGGGGGGTTTTATATTGTTGCTGGGGTTGCCGGGCACTGGGGTGGTCACTCGGGTGACCATTCTGGGTGGTCCGGGCTGGACAGGAGCCAGCGCTGCCCTGAAATAAAAAAACAAAAAAAACAGAGCGATGCTCATAAACCGCGCTCCGACATCTCAAATTAAACTTTGAGAAGGGGAAAGCAGCTCCTCACAGCTCCGTATTTTTCTCTCCCCAGCGGCTTCTTTATATATTTATTTTCAATAAACAGACGTTCCAGGCACGCTCGTCCCGATCTGCAATCTATAATRCAGTATAATAGACATAAATTATATTTCCATGACTAAAGGAAAAATCTGTACGTTCAAAGAAAGTGGAACAGAGGGATRTGAGGGACTACTGTCAAGCAGGAAAGTAAAAGGAAAATAGCTGTAGGCAGGAGAGCTGCCTGTGTGGGCTTTGATCTGAAGGATGAATTAGACTAATAGCCCTGTGTGTTGGCATCCAATACTGTAACAATTTAATAGTTTTTTTCAATGCTTTGGAGTGTTTTCCAACAAGTGATGTAAACCAAAGGCACCACGCACCGTTTCGGGAGGGGGGACTTAAAAGGTGTGTGCCACACGATAATTAAATTATTTGAARACAGGCTCTGTCCCAGGAACAAGCCCCAGGAGGAAATGGGTTTTGGAAAAGGGAAAGCAAATTGGTGTGTGGAGAGTTTCTCTGGATGGAAATATAAAAGCAGAACCACTAGCAATGCAACTTTTTGTTTTCTGTAGCATCTTTCATACAAAGTATGTCCCCAAACCTCTTTTGGAGTTAAAGGATACAATTAGGAGGAAATTCATCTGAGTGATAAAGAGCTCTTTAAAATGATGCTTTAGTGTCTGCCAGAGTTTTGACAAAGATGAACATGAGAAGSCTTTTCCTGTGGAATATAACACATTATAGCAGGGCACAGGGGATATCATGGCATGAAAAAATCCATGTTTTCTTGGGAATATGAAACCAGAGCAGATATCCAAAATAAAAATTATCTCCACTCTAAAATACATCAATAGGCATATGCATGAGGCATCCAGTGCAGAGGAGGTGTTAAATCAAAGGGTCAGCTCCTGCTGCCTAAGGCATTAGCAGGGCTTTAATACTGAGCAAGATAGAGCAGATTCAGTGGTGGAAAATGAAATATATAATGTCTGATCTTCATTCAKACTCTGTCCAGCTGGACTAGAAGGTTTTGAGTAAAGGAGAAGCTGGGTCACAGATTTGGGAAGATTCTCCCTCACTAAAACCCACGATCCTTGAGACATAAGGAGATGTCTGCTTTGATTTTTAGCAGTGGTTCTTCTCTTTGGGAGTGTTTTAACCCACTGAAATTCCAGTTACTCAAACTAAAGGCTAAAACAGATCTTGCTTGTGATTTATAACAATTTCAAAAAGGATTATCACTTCCTGAGAGCTGGATAATTTGGTTTCTGGCTCTGCAGATATTCACCTGCTGCAAATTCACACAGACCCCAAGAAGAACACAGATTTTTTTTTATTTTTTTTGAGTCCTACAAAATCAGAAACAAATTATATATGGTCTCCCATAAACCTGCTTCTGAAATCCACATATGCAAAACCAGGGGAATATTCATCAAGGTAATTTTTAAAGCCTTCATGCTGCTACTTTATCCCCAAATGAATCTTTATGGTCTAATTATAATCCTTGAAGATAATATTGATGAAGAAATGCTGCCATGCTCTTGTATGTGCCATGGTGGAGCAGGTGCCATGCTATGGTGGCAGAACATGCTGCACAATGTTTTTTTGTTGGTTTTTTTTCCCAGCATCTGTGCAGACATTACAGTTTAACTAAAGCAACCATAACTCACCCCTGTCATTGCCATAAAAGCATAATTTTGCCAGGCTAGTGTTTTCTTCTGCTGTATATTTTCAGAACACCGAGCTGTAAACCATTTGATTTGAGATAGTAAACAGGCAGTAAAAACGCCGGGGAAGATTTGACTAATTTTTTTAAACATTGATATTAAAAAGTTATTTGCAATTTTTTTGTGATTATGACAGAGATTGTGAAAGTTGTCCGTGAAATTCAGACGGGCCATAAATCCAAACAGGGCTGAATTACTGCTCATTATGGGATAATAGAAAGACACTGAGAATTTTAGTGTTTAGGACTGAGTTGTGGCATCCCAGTTTTCTTACTGGTGTGGACTGGTGCGTCCCAGCAGCCCAACTCCTCCTGTGTCTCTCAGGCTTGGCTGCATTTAGGACTTGATTCCAAACCTTTTAAATTTGTCATATAATCACAGAATGGAGGGGAAATTTTAAGATTATCTTGTTCCAACCCTCTGCTGTGGGCAGAGACACCTTCCACTGTCCCAGGGTGCTCCAATCCCTGTCCAGCCTGGCCTTGGGCACTGCCAGGGATGCTCTGGGCACCCTGTGCCAGGGAAGAATTTCCTCTTAATATCTATTCTATCCTTTATATCATTGGGATTTTTCCTTCCTCACTTGTAAAATCCTCCAAAATCATGACCCATGAGGCTCCTGGAGTYGAGCAGGAAGATCTGGAGGGTTTGGAAAGGGGATGAGCAGAGATTTGGTGCCCGTTCCTTGGCCACAGAGCCCCTCTTGGGCTGGCACAACAATGATGCCCAGCTCAGGGCACACTCATTTACCCGAGATGGACACCACCCTGGCACAGCCTTGATGCCTCAGGATTTTTCATTTCTGTATTTTCATGCATCTGTATTCTTGTATTTCTCTAGTACAGCACTAAAAAGTACCGTTCTCTCATTTTTAGACAAAACAATCCCACTCTGAGCTGAATCCAAGGACACCTCAGAGCCCCAAAATAAGGAAACAACAGCGAGTTGGGGGGAGCAAGTTTGGGGTGTTGACATCATCACCTGAAAAGATCATTGGATAATTAACACCCAATATGCTAATAAGGCAGAATTTATAAAAGGTAAAGATCTCGTGACTCAGGATCCATTTTGGGTGTAATTTGTCTGCCCTAATGTACCAGTGGGCCTGTTAGGCCTGGATTAAAGTTGTCTATTCTCATTCTCTTAACTTTGGCCTCTATTTCAGATTATCCTGATTGATAAAGCATCACCTCCTCACCCCAGCCTGCCCTGCTCACTGCAATTCCAGCTCCAAGAACCATTTGGCCTTGAGCCTCCCTTCATCCATTGCTCAAATTCTGCACCAGACACAGCCCATAACTCGGGCCAGGAAACTTGTTCCAGATGTTAATTAACTCCCTCTGCATTAACTGGAATCACACAATTAAGGCCTGATTATTTATAAAACCATTTTTGTCAAGAGAATTAGGGGAATTAGAAACATCCTGGCTCGCACTTTCACCCGAATGTCCATGTGCTGCTCAATTGTGGAAGCTGGCACCACATATTTATTTCCAGCCATGGCAATGATTGCAGAAAAGAAAGGGCAGGAAAAGCAGGGAAAAACATCAGGGAGGGATGTCTTTGCTCTGCAGAAGCTGATTATTGAAAAGAGAGTTGTTCCCTGTTTGTGCCAGCTTCTGGTAGCTGAAAAAAAGTGGTGATTTCTGTAGAAATCTGTGAAGAATGAATTTTGTCTGTAGATTAAGCATTGAAAGAGAGTTGTTCCCTGCTTGTGCCAGGTTCTGGTAGCTGAAAATCGTGGTGATTTCTGTAGAAATCTGTGAAGAATGAATTTTTTCTGTAGATTAAGCAGTTATAAAGGCACTGTATGGACTGCTATCACAATGGTAATTTCTTACCCACTTGGGAAAATAATGGGAGAGGYTTTGGACAGGCTGTGTTGTTCTGGAAGCATCAGGGTCCTCAAAGTGATGAACGTGCCTTGTAGTGGATTTGGAAGCCAATGGAGCATCAGAACCATGTGGCCCCAGGGGACAAACTGGGTGGTGCATTTGGGGAATTGTAGCAAAGTCCACACCTCCAAGAGGRGCCTYTAATTCCTYAMCCAACWGGACAGGAAGGAATSAGGCGTGGAGGAGCAAAGGAGCAGATTCCAGCTGAGCAGAGAATCTGTACTCCATCATCCTTCAAGGGTTCCCAAGAGCATCCCACAGCAGAGTGTCTCTCCTCAGTCACAAATTTCAATATTCAGGAGTTTGGAGCTGCTCAGGGGRTGGAGAGCCAGAGCAGCACCTGCTTTGTTTTGACCTTAGATTATTTTTCTTCATCAGCTTTTCGGTCTGAAATGTCTTTGGGATTTAAACGTGGCTGAAGCCAAGTTGCAGCACTAAAAGTTTCTCATTTTCAGTGTCTTTTAGGCAGCTGAATTTAACTAAATGGGACCTTCAAGAAGCTGAGTATTTTAATGGAAACTCAGCTTCTCCCCATTAATCTGTTGTATGGTGCTTTTAGGAATATATAGGTGAGTTCYCAGTAAACCACATGTCTTGATTAAGGATAGATTTCCTTATTTGAGAGTCAAATTTTTGGTTTTTTTTCTGACTAACCTGTTTCTGCAGCAGCCTGTTGGCATGTGTTATTCACAAGCACATCTCTCTGTTAATGAGTATTTGTGAGAGCAGTTTATTTTTCTTTAGCATCTTCCTTATTTTCCAAGCTGTTCCTGCATTCCTATGAATAATTCTCAGGACTTAAGAATTTAGACATTATGGTCCTAATTCTTGAGCTCGGGATAGAGAATGCTTTTAGGGATAAAATAGRGGATGATTTGTAAGTATTTAACCACTGGTGTGAATTTTCAGGCAAACAGCAATTTATGAAACTTCAAGGATTCAGGGACTCTGCATTTGGCTGGGTTTGATCAAAAGCTAAAAAACCGGAAATTCACAGATAATAATAATTT